ACTGAGATTAAATTACATAATTATGTGAATTTGGGTTACCAATTAGGAGACTTCTAAAGCTAGCTGGCTGCTCTTTTATTTCATGGTATCAAATTAAGCGGGCCAAATACAAAGCCATGACACACATTTCAGATTTTAAAGATCATAAAAACTTGTCCTTCCACTTGACTATTATGTGCTACTTTGCATTGTGTGACTCTTTCACACTGAATCACAAAAGAAATGCATCAAGGTTCAGCGGATTTAAATGCTTTTGCAAGGCACTGTCTGTCGCCACAAGTAGCAACTCCTCTGGTGTTGACAGACCACGGTGGTCGCTGGTGCAGGATTGTAAATGCAAAACAATAAGCTAAAGCAGAAATCGCAGCTGGAGACTGGAGCAATGAAACCAGTCGGGAAAAGAAACACAAATGTCCTCGTCCCAAAGAACAGCTTGATTTAATTTACATACTTTTACAAGAAAAGCTGGCCGGTTACTCACGCCTGATCCTATGATTCATCCTCTGAGGGGGGCATCACTCCATCAGTACACTGGGGAACACATTCTCAATCAAGTTTCCTTTTATAAAGCAAGTAGAAATGAAATGACACCATTCTATCAGGAGTATGGTGAAAACTCATTATGATTACAAGAGGCATTCTTTTAGCCAAAGGCCTTTCTCAGTAATTTAACAAAGTTTCTGGATCCTCAATCAAATTTCTCTTTTCTTTTGTCTCTCAAACTCCTTTCCTGGGCGTTCTGGACCATTGTAGATACAGAACGTTATTCATGTTGATTGGCAGCTTTAATCGGCAGCCTGGTGTTCGTACATCTGCCTGCAGAAGCTTCAGCTGCTCTGGTGTTGCAGCGCTCGACAGACCTAATTATTTTTCAGAGTGATGTTTGCATTTAATTAGAATGTGAATTTATTTTTTTAGATAAAAATCACTGAATATTTTTATGCTCACGTAAAGAAGTTAATTGTCCTTTTGCTCTTCTAGGAACTATTTGGCAGATGTAATCCTGCAAAAAAAAGTGTTGAAACATATGAAGTGATGTGATCTGCGTGTGTGTGTTGCATAGCTCAGCTTACGGTTTTGCGAAGCTGTGCATCTGGATATAATCAATATCTGACTCGGGAGTTATTACAGTTCTATGGAGAAAGGGTTATAGTCCTTGAACTTTTCACATTTTTGTCACCTTACAATCAGAAACTTCAGTCTACTTTATTGAGATTTTATGTTCTGGATCATCACAAAATAGAAAGGAATTGTGAAGCGGAAGAAAAAGGATACAATGTAAAGTAAAATGTCTGAACAGTGTGGTGTCCATATGCATCCAGTCCACTGAGTCAGTGCTTTGTAGATCCGCTTTTTGCTGTGATTTCAGCTGTGACTGTTTTGCCGTTTATCTCTACCATCTCTACCAGACTTTGGCCTGATCTTCTTTGGTAAATAACTGATACACATCATCTGGGAACATCAGCTTTCAAGACTTTCCACATTTCCTCAATTGGATTTAGATCTGACCTGTGACCGGGCCATTCTTACACATGAACATGCTTTCATCTAAAACATCCCACTGTCACTCCAGCTGTATGTTCAGAAAGTTGTCCCTCTTGAATGTGAACCTTTACCAAAAGGCTCAAGTCTTTTGGTGCTTCTTCAGGTTTTCTTCACTATGTTGAGCTCAATCTACTCAAACACTGATCAGCCTGGTTGTATTTAACAGACCATTTGAGATCTTCAGAGATACAATCATCCACAGATGGAGTTGATTTATTACATCTTAAGTATTTATTAGGTGACTTGTAAAGGCATTTTGTACCAACTATGCTACCCATATTTCTTTTTTTTTTTTTGGTCAACACTTTGACCAAAACCAAGTATTTCAATTCACAATTGTGCACTTATTTGTGTTGGTCCATCACATAGCATAGGATTTGTGGCCTGGGGAACTGTGTTCAGACAGAATACCAAGGCGTCCGTTTGACCTCAGCTCCAGTGTGACAAAAGTTTTGAGTTTTAAGTTGAGCAAACTAGCAGAAAGCCACCTGTGACTCTGTTGTTTCCTCCTTCCTGGCAGCCCCCAGAGGAGATCTACTCGGCCGGCGACTCCATTGTCATCAAGTTCCACTCTGACGACACAATCAACAAGAAAGGTTTTCACGTCCGCTACACCAGCACCAAGTTCCAGGACACACTGCACTCACGCAAGTGACCAGCGGGGGCCGGAAGGGGCCGTGCAGGGCAAAGGGGCAAAAGGAAGGGCCCGCGGGGGAGGCGCCAGCCTGTCGCTCGGAAACCTTCGGCCACCAAGACGAATCAGACTCGACAAAACAGCCGCAAGACCACCAACCGCACCTCAACACCCAGGGGCTCTGGCTCCCCCCACAGACTGTGAGGAGTAAAGCCATTCTGCAGTACACCTTGTTTTTACCTTTTTAGGGTTAGGGTTGGGGTGAGAGGATGAACAACTACTTTAGGCAGACAGTAGGGGAAAATGTATGACCCACTCCCCTCCAAAAAAAAATGTTTTTTTTTTTTTATTCTTTTTTTTTAACATGCCTCCTGCTTTGGAGGCAAAAAGGAAAACAGTGGATTCTCAGGACCTGTAGGAAGGCAGGCATCAGCTGGACAGATCTCTGCTTTTGTCAGGCCAGCCCACCACATGGCGGCGGGGGGGTTGGAGAGGAAGAGGAGGAGGAGTATGGGAACATCTCCTGCACTCTTCGGTTATTGCTCTCCTCTTCTCTCCTCTCACTCTCATGCCTACGGTGCATGGATTCCTGTCCATAAGAGGATTAAAAGGACTTCACTTGAGATTTTTTGAAACTGTATGTCAGCCAATTGCATGTAATTACAAGGAGTGAAGGAAAGCTGTACAGCGGCAACACCAGCATTTGTACTTGGCATTGTCCTGGCAGCCAGTGACAAGATTCTTGTTCTTACCATTAACAAGGAAATTAGGGAAGCAGTTACCTTATTAAAGGACTAATAAATGAAATGTGGTCCATGTCTTCTGGTTGGTACTTACTTCCCTGATGACTGGCTATTTCTGTACCTCCATGTATAAAGTAATGTGTTTGATTTTTTTTTTTCTTTTTTTCTAAGGGAACATGTGCTTTTTTTCAGCTCGAACCAGTTAGCACTTTACAGTGAATTGTTCCAAAATCATGAGCTTCTAAAACTTTGTGAAATGCAATGCCAGTTCACTTATTTTTAAATGCATTTTATCTCTTCTTCTTCTTTTTTTTTTAAGTGCTCCATCTAGTTCCTCAGGCATACTTGAACATTGTGTGTGCCCTGTAACATGGGGTGAAATAAAGGTATGACTTTATGTTTCAGTATAACTGTTGTTTTGCAGTTCTGATGTAAAGTAGATTCTCTCGAGAGCAACTTGCCTTTTTTTTGGTACAATGAAACATTTCTCGATGACCAAATGAGCCGGGGTATTTATTGTTACGCATATAATGTAAAGGTGGAAAGGATCCTATAAAAGCCTTCTAATGTATAGTCATTTGTGTTTGTTTAATCTATGCTGTTACTCACCAACTTTCTCTGTTTGTCTTTCGGCTCCATGTTTACAGAACGCACTGCTGTTCTTTTGTTTTCTGTCTGAAGCGTTTTTTTCCCCCACAGGCATAGTTTGAATCAGTTCAGAGTATCCAAAGATTGAACCAACCTGCTGTGAAAGTATTCAGTCAGATGTGTGAGAAGGTAACGAAACTTAAATGAGAACTTAAACCCCAACAAACGAACACAATGACTCTGGAGTATTAATATCTCTTGGATTTGCTATTTTTAGATAGAGGGTGTCGCTTCACAGAAATTAGGAAAGTAATGTCACATTGTCATGTATCTGCCTTGCATTTTGATGAAGATCAAAACCACCGTTTGCTACCCAAAATATTTCGTCTCGTCATAAAAAACTCCCTGCAGCAATTTTATTTTATTTTTTAAATCTTATGTCCTTGTTCAACAAAATTTGCCTAAATTCAATACAAGTCATGGCAACGACCTGAAACTTCCATGCTCTTCTACGCAGGTGTTCAGTCTACACTGATGATTGACTTCACACCCAAACGCTTAAAATGGATCTGAAAGTCGGGGTGAACATTTCTTTTAAGATTTCAACAATTATTTGATCACTTGAGTGCAGAAGTATTCATTTCAATGAAACGTGAAAACCTGATTTTCACAAATATTTTTAATGAAATTTCCACCTCACTTGGAAGCTACTGTTACAATGTTTATGTAAATTTCATATGAAGGACCAAATGATGCAGTTCTGCTGTTATTTAATCTCGTTCTACATTGTTCAGAGGCTCGGTCAGCACCGATTCAGATCCAATCACCTCTGAATACTTATTTGATTTTTGGTAGCACAATAATTTCTTCAGCAGTGGAGTTTTGAACAGCAAGTGTGCAGATGAGTCATTGAGATTGTGAGCATTATGGATTGTTTTGATGTGAATAACTGTACCTGTAATTTTCATGTCTTAAGTTGCTCCATGTCTTTTGGACAACTCTTATTTTCACTCCTCTGTCAGAAATCTTAAGGGCACCAAGGTGTGCGCTTGGTTTATGGTAAAATCATTTTCTTTACACTTTGAGTATATTTCCAATGAGGCTTACAGTAACATTCAGAAGTTTGGAGATACGGCTGTAACAATTTACATTAGTATGTTCTGCAACTTTAATCCTTTTCATCACTTTTTATTTTGATAAGTCGCACTACTGTGAAACGGTTCATATTAATCGTGCTGATTTTAATTTGCACATACCAGCTGTAGTGCTGTTTAAACACATTTTAGCTGCATTCTTTGTGCTAACCCCTCTCACAAGACTTTCAATACTTATTCCCTGCGACATTTTAACTTTTTACTTCTAACTTCATTTGTTGACTGATTTGCACGTATTGTTTTTTTACGTGAGGATTTCTTGGGTTATTGCAGACCTCTGGTGTGAATTTTACCCCAGTAGACATATTTCAACAAAGAAAACCTGTTTCTCAGGTGTAAAACCTATTACTGGTATTGTGTCTTTCTGTGACACAATACCAGCTTCACGTAGTACAGAAAATTATCTCAACTCATTATGTAGTAAAAAAAAAAAACATTCAGAGTTGTACAAATACCTTCACTGACATTCGGATAATCCATGACTCTTTCTGCTGCAACATATTTCATTTTACAACAATACACCAAGGCCTTTCTGACTATCAGTCATGAACTACATGACAGTATGACACCAAAACATCATTCTCATTTTGCTTTTCAGCATAAGAATAAACTTCTCTCCTGTTTACGGAGTCTGAGTTGTTTCGCATGGATGATTAATAGCGTAGCGATGTGACGCTGGAGCTCCCACTGTAAGTATGCGACTGTAAGCAATCAGTGACGCCTCTCCATCCTCCTCCGTTACACAGCTAAGCAGAAGGACGCAGCTCTGACCTTTCACTAATGAGAAGACAAATAGCTTTCTGCACCTGCTTTATTTGACATTCACAAGTGTAACACACACACACACAAAAGTCCCAGAAACGTACCACTCTTGCCAGGACCGAGTGGGTTCCTCTCCCTCGCCATTATCGTGTTATATGGTTTGATAAATGGTCCTCACCTTCACTGCAGGGCAGCGCGTGGCTGCGGCTGATTGGTGTTCGAGTGGTGCTCTTTGCTGCGAGGACAGGAGACTTTTACACTGAGTGCTTTTAAAATGTGATGGAGTTTACACCTGAGGACAGGAAGAGAGGATTCTTTCCATTTGTTTTTTTTTTTGTTGTTACAAAAACCTTAAAGCAGTTAAAGATTTGATCACATAAAAATAACGCAACATTATTCACAAGCACATGTGTGCTGGCAGCTTCCAAAGGTTCAGTTCAGAACATTTACATCACACAACACGTTTTACCAAACAGTATAAATTCTGTTAATACGCCTGTTTGTCCAGCTGCGGATGGACATGGTAAAAGCTTTCCGAGAGAAGACGCGGCATTAAACAAAAATTAGGTAGTTTCACAGACGACCATAAAATCCTGTAAACCGCCAACACTACAGTCAGACGCTGTGTTGAATAACCCATCGGCAACTCTTTACAACTCAACGTAAAGCAACAACGTTTTCCAGGAATTACTCAAAGCTGAAGAGAAAACGGAACCAAATATTGTGTCTTGCAAAAATTATCCAACCTCTTAAACTTCCCTGCACTTTGTTACAAACACGACTCCAGTGTGTTTTATTGGGATTTTATATAATAGATTAATACAAACCAGTGTTAACTGGATATGTGATTTTTCAATATTTTTATGAACGCAAACCTGAGCAGTGTGGTCTGCAAAGGGAGTAGGGGGGGGTCACCCTAATTTTGTTGAACAGCTCTATAGAATACAGAGCAGCCAAATTACTAAGAGTTCACCGGTGTGTAATTTTAAAAGAAGTAACATCTCTACATATATTTTAATATCTTGCATGGAAATTAAGAGGATGTCTTTACTGCAAAACAACAGGTCCAGTCAGAGGACCAATAACGGGAGAAGCAGCTGTAGAAACTGCTGTTGAGGTCTACAGCTCAGGTGGGAGAGTATGCTGAGAGGATTCCTGTTAGTTGCACAAACTAAAAAGATTCTGATTATTTTTGTTTTATTTCTCCATCTAACCAGAATGAGACATAACCAGGTTTAGATTTGCAAAGCATGAATAGTTTTTCTTCCACAGCACAATTATGTGTAACTTTGTGTCGGTCAGTCATATAAAATCCCACTGTCGTATGTGGTTGTAAAAATAAAAACAAGCACAGTACCATAACCCAGTCATCATGTCAACTCAGAGGCAGAACAGAACCGAGTCACGTAGTTACAAGAAGACACTCAACAGGTGAGGGATTGTTCCCCTGTGTGTCAAACTCACTGACAAGTCAAATAAATCTGTTTTTAGAAAACAAATAGCTTTCAGTTGCTGAGACAGTGTTGACATCTTTGTGCTTTAAAGATCACTTACTGATCTGATATTTCTCCTGAAGGTAAAGGAAAATACATTACTCTTGTCTGACATCAGTGTGAGCCGAGGACAACAGTGTGTTCATGTGGCGAGGGACCGCCAGGCCGAGGCCCCCAGCCGCTGGCCCGTCCAGCACAGGGCCCCCACCAAGACCGCCGCCGCCGTCACAGCCAGGCTGGCCTTCAGCACAGCGCCGGGGTGCCTGCTGAAGCGGGCCGGGGCCACGCAGGCCAGCAAGGCAGAAGTCACAGACAAGGTGAACAAAATGGAGACGGCCGTGTTGATGGCCACGATCTGACCGAACTTGGCGAAAGGCACAATGACGCAGAAGAAAAGGGGGACGGTGGAGATTGCTGTGGTGACGGCGCTGGACACTATGGCAACGCCCACATGGTTCACTGCCTCCAAAGTTCGCCTCTGTCTCTCGGCTGAAGGCTCCTGTAAGCAAACCACACAAATAAAGGCTTGATTTAAAAGCATGTTCTTTCAGCACTGCGAATCTCTTGTTCATCTGACATGAAGGTGTTTTTTTTCTTTGTTTTTTTAAATAAAAAGCTTTAAGAAATTATTATAAAATTTACAGTGTCTTTTCACACCCCTTAAACCTTTTCAATATTGGGTCATTTTAACAAACAGGAACTTCAGAAAGTAGAACATAGTGGAAGGAACATGATACATGGATCTCAACACATTTTCCCAAAATAAAATTTAATGCAATCACATTTTCTACTAAATTATGAGCACCTATGTGTAATTTAATCCAGCTGTTGTGTGACGGCCTCAGGCTTTTGTTCATAAGAGAGAGAAAATTGAGTTTCAAGATTAAAGCAGGATTGCATCACTAAAAATTCTCCAAGATTTTGAATATCTTATGGATAATTTTAACCCATTATCTGACAGTGGAAAGAGTTTGGCATGCTTTAAACCAACAGAAAAGGCAAGGAGCGCATTAATCAACGAAGCAGCCTATGATGACTCTGAAGAAGCTGCAGAAATCAACAGCTTAGGTGGGAGAATCTGACAGCAAGAGAACTACTGGTCATCCATTCAAATCTTATGGAAAGGCAAAAAGAAAACCACGAACGCCTCGAGAAATGATTGCTAACATGGGGGACAAAATGCTGATGCAAATTAAAACAAAAAGCGGTATCTGAGGTAGCAAGTTAACACTGAACACAATATGCTAGTACTATGTTGTGTTGATGTTTTTTATGTAGGGGAAGCTGGTCAGAGTTGAAGGGATGTATGGAGCTAAATCCAAGACAATACTGTAAAACCCTGTAAAACCCTGGAGACCAGTGCGGAGGCTCAGCTTCCAGCAGGACAACATCACTAAACATACAGTCAGATCTACAGCTACATCATACAGATGTGTAAATAAACCAGTCAAGTCAATGCAGTTATAAATACCTGGCAACACATTAAAATTATGCAAAGTCAGTACAAACTATTGATGATGATGAGATTTAAAAATATCTATTTTTTATAAGAATGTGATCAGATCTGATCACAATCACCGTGTGATTTGTTAGAGCAGTGACTGTGACAGAAATCTGCTTTCCCTTACAGAGTTGTGTCCAGGCAGTAGGGAAGCCGTCTCGCCAGCCAGCAGGTAGCCCTCCACCAGGTGCAGACAGTAATCCACTGAAGATCCGACAAGTATTGACAGAGAAATCGCTTCCACCGCTCCCATCTCCCAACCCAGCCAATACATGACAGCCACAACCAGACAGATCACTCCTGAGGTGGGGGAAGGGGAAAAAAACAACAACAAACAACATGAAGCTCGATACATCCACACTAAAGGCTTCCAAACACGTACACGAGCTGCTTCGTCTCTTACCTATAATTGTTATGAGCACCGGCAGCAGCAGCAGAGGATGAGCTGTAAACACAGACACGGCGGCCACACAGATCGCGAGAGAGAGCAGGAGACTCCAGAGGGCACTCTCCACACCTAAACACATCAGACCTCATTACATTTATACACACACTTCTCTAATCAATTAGCGGCGAGAATCAAACACCTACCTATAATTTCCATGAAGATCTGCTTCCAGTGCTCGCATGTCTGGAAACCACGCTGGAGAGCCGAAGTCTGTGGGAGGCTGGCAAGCTGCTCCTGGATGAAGTTCTCCCACTGGAGGAAGTCTGAGTAGGTCTGAAAGGACGATTTCCCCTTGTATGTGGTCTTTGGAGGGGAGACGGTAGGGATGGCCGGTCAGACAGCTTTTCTTTATTACACATGCGGAGGGAAAGCTGCAAGATTACAGGACTTACAGATTCAAAGGCCATGGACAACCAGCGGACCTTGCCGCCGTGCATTCCCACGGCGCCGTGGGAGAGCTGGCCCGGGAGCAGATTGGGTTCGGGGAGGGAGTGGCACTCAGGATGGAGCAGAGGAAGAACTGAGGAGAGCTTGTTGCCTGCCGGGAGCAGAAGAAACACCATCATCCACCCCCTCGTCTTTACCCTTCATATATATTCAAAACCTTTAGAACATTTCCACAGTGTGTCACTTCAAAGTAATTTGTGTAAATCGTGAGAAAACCAACACTGCACCAAAAAGCATGCATGGTGCTGGGGGTGGCAGCATTATGCTATGGGGATGAATGTCTTCAGCAGGTACATGGAGGCTAAGTCAGAGTTAAAGGGGATGATAGATGTAGCTGAATACAGAGTACAGCTGAAGAAAACTGGCTAGAGGCTACAGTTAATTTGATATTCTGCAATGTTAAGGTTTTTATTAGTAAAATAATAAAAAAACATATAAAAATACAAATGCTTTATTTTCTTTGAACTTTCAATTTAACTTTCAATTTGTGTTGGTATGTGGTATACAATACAATACAATAAAATGTGCATTTTTAAATAATAGCGCTGACTTACAAAGCACTGTGTCTTTCTTTGGCCAATGTTTTATTTTTTCTCACATTTTAAGATGATCTTTTCCTATTAATTTATTGTGATTTTAAGACCACAAATGATTTTAAGGCACTCAGAAAATCTCAGTATTGAACATGCATTCAATTTTCAATTGATTGCCGTGAGGCGCGCAACGCTTTGCCTTCCTTCACATTTAGCTGGTAAATATCTTTTGGATAAAAAATAGTGCATCAGCGTTAACATTGCGTGAGTTTTACCTGAAGGCAAACACTGAGCTCCTCCCGGCTTCACGAGTTTTCTGTTTGCACCAACAGCTTTGCAGATTGTGCAGAGATGGCCCATCTCCTTGAAAATATCAAAGTCTGGATCCAGGATAACACTGCCCTTTAGAAAAAAAAGAAAAATTAAATAATGTAAGAGCACTGATGCTGCGAGGTTTTACTAAATGTCTTGCGATATGGATTTGCAATCACAATTCAGGCAACTGTCATTTAGACACTGGGGACAACATGGAGATCAGCATCATGCAGGGACCCTCACCATGTCTCCAATCACATGGTTTTCCCTGTTCTCGCTTCGATTGACTCCCAGGATCCCGAACACGACGAAAACCATGGCCCCGGTGTCAACCAGAGGACGCACAGCTGGGCGACCACAAGTGCCGCCGCTGCACGGGTTGAAGCCAGATGTCCTGGATGCTTTTGTCTTGGCAGCGGATGAGGAATCTTTGAAAATAGAACAAGAGGAAAATCTTTCAACGGTGTTTGTTTATTCAGTGTAAAAATAGCTGCTGTGGGAAACAAACAAAAAAAAAACCCACCAGTGAGTTTACAGAGTGCCACTTCAAGAAGCTGCATTTCAAGAAGCTGTCATATCACAACATTTTCTTGAGTCACAACATTCACGATGTGGGAGTAAATGACAAAGACATGACAAGGGAGAGAGACTCGTGCAGTGTTTTCCTAATGAACTGAATAATCACTTTTATGTTGACAATGATCTCAGACAAAGATGCTTGCATACCGATGGGGAGGGGGGTGTAAAAGGATCCCTTTAAAGGTCCGTCAGGCCCAGAACTGAAGCCACAACCAGGTGTTTTCACACACAGCCTGCTGGGATGAGGTCTCTGATGGCACTGAGCAAAATACAGCCTCCTGAAGGCAGAAGGCAGATTTAATTTGACAGATATGCTGCTAAAGCCTCCGGAGAATCTGAACTGGAGCAGAGGATTTGTTATTCCACCTGCTATTCTGCTGCGGAGACGCAGCGACGTAGAAGGAAAACTCTTGGGTCCAGCCGTGGCGGGGATCGCACGAGCCGGACGTGATCATCCAGCTGGGGTAGGGGCGATACTCTCGGGAAACGCACACCGTCATCCTGCTGGTGTAATTTTTCTGGGGATGACTGAAAGCCTGTTCAGACAAAAGTAAACGATTGTTGTGGCGGTACGCGCCAGGAGCGGATCGCAGAGACGGCTTGGTTCGCTCCCAAACCTGGAACGACGACACCTCGTCACGCTCCGCGCTGCACACTTTCCACGGCGACGGGATGCTGGTGTTGAGCGAGAACCTGTAGATCGTCGTGGAGCCTCCTTGGGCCAGCTTTGACATGTACACAGTCAGCAAGGAGTCTGACACCAAGAAGCACATGAAGACATCAAGACCAGCACTCATGCATATGGAGGACCTTTTTTTACCCTCCCTACCTGTGTTGTTGGTGCTCGGGCTTGTGTTCATGGATGTCTGGGAGACAGTCGAAGCTGTCGTGCTTTGACTTTGCTGATGTGTGGAAAACCTCAGCCCCGACGAGGGAGTATGCGTGTAGAGCAGATGTGGTTTTTCCATGAACACCCCTAACGTGATAAAACGTGGCTTTAGGGCAGAACGTCTCAAACTGTTTGTAACAAGTACCACAGCTGGAAATAAGTTTCCATGTACAAACATACTGAAACAGTTTGGAGCTGTTTTAAGCTCACAAAAGGGCCCTGGAAAATGACACATAAAGGTTCTTAACCACAGAAACTGCAATCGTATGACTGCACTGCCACATCCTAAATACAAGGATGTGATTTAATTATGCACGTTTTTTTTCCCTCAGAGGCTGTGAGGTCAACTTCAGGTTAAAAAATATTAACAGATTTATGTTTCTGAAGTCTGAATCTTATGTTCTGAAGCAAAATTCAACATGGCTGCCTTGCATATAGAAAAATATGAGACACTGTTTATTTTCTCTTCTGAGAGTTTGCATCAAGTTAATTTTATAAAACACTCACACAACAAGACGTGGAGCTCATTTACACTGCATTATTGTTTAAATTAGACAGTTTAGTTCTACTTCATTAATATTCTAGACTTTAAATGACGACGTAAAGGATGTTGCCTGCTTTAAAAACCTTTTTTAAAAGGAGCCTCTTTAGCTGCTGTGGTCTCACCTGAGCAGGTGGGGCAGGAGATGCCCTGACCACTCAGGTTGCTGCGCAGGGCCAGCAGCGTCTGAAGGTTTGTTTCCTGTCGGAACAGGAGGGGGGCGTGGGTGGCCGGCCTCAGGAGGCAGCAGCAGCCCGCAGAGAAGACCAGGACCAGGAGAAAGACGCCTGGATGGGAACCGAGACAGGGACAGACAGCGGCGGCTAGAGAGGAAGGTCTGACTGAGCAACATAAAGAAACTCCTCAGGAACAATGATACAGGATGTTTACTGAAAGACGCTTTTCGTTTCACAGCTTTAATCTCACCGGTTGAAACGCAACAGATGCAGATGTGGGCAGATTTAGTGGTTGCCATGGTGAAGATGCGTAAAAACGCCCTCGCTCTCTTAAGGCCACTTAGAGGTCGAACTATTCCCTGGAGAAACGGGGCACTTGCTCTTTAACCTGATGCACTTTCAGTTCTCTCTGATCTCTACCATGAAAACATTCCCAGCTCGGTGAAAATGTAAGTGTGGAGAGAAACAAAACTATTATAACAAGAGGTGAAATTGTGTTTGGCTGAAGACTCTCCGGGTGGTTTTTGGTATAAAACAAAGGAAAAGCACCTCGCAGTCATTGTTAAACAATGGCGGACATGTGATGCTGTTTTTCAAAAAATGGGACTGCTCAAAGGCAAACTACAAACTAGAGCTACTAGTGTCTCTTCCTGCTAAATAAATGCTTTCAATTTAAAAGTTGTGTTTTCCGCCATGTTCAGTGTGAGATTAATTTACTGAAATAAAATATTGATCTATTCATTGATTTTTAAGGCCGTTACATCTTTACCAGAGGCGCAGACAAATATGTCTGTGTTTCTATGTGTACCGAGTATTTTAATCACTCGCATGGCTGCAGCAGAGTGAATTCATGTCTCACCTAAAACCGCTTTCCGATGCTTCACTGCCGGCTCAGCCACTAAGTGCTTCAGGCACCACTGGAGGTTTGTGCTCACCACACCCATCTGATGCTGTCCTGCAGCGGATAATGGTGTATCCACTGTCAGGGAAAGAATGGCTCCGTCGCTGTCTGTGTCACAGGAGCCTGACAAAAAGGAGAATGACCTCAGCAATGCCTGAGCAGCTGCGCTTTACAGCCTGGATTCGTTCCCTGTCCTGTTTCTCTCCCAACAAGCCATCCCTTCACTGTAAAGGAGATAATAATCTCACCTGGCTCCATGTCCACTGACAGAAGTGCCACATCATCATCCTCATCTGACAGAGGGCTGTAGCTCGCTGACAAGCCCAAGAGCAGCTTCACGCTTCAGGGAGAGGACAGTTTAGGGTCAGAGGCAGCTGGTGGGAGTGCGTCTAAGCGGCGCGCAGCCACCACAAATAACACCTTCCAACAAAGTGAGGAAATAGGAGCTCACCAGTTCATCCAGTCGTGTTCGTGAGGCTCCACATGCCGGGTCCAGATACACAGGGCTGCTGGCATCATGACAGACACCCAAAGCCAGGCGCAGCTGACAATGAGGGCCATGAATAGGCCAAAGTCATGCACGGCTGGGATCTGAGTGTCAGTTAAACGCAGCACAGTGTAAAGGACCTTCAAACATTCAATTTGTGCTTATCGAGTGAAAATGGCTGTCTGCTGAGAGCAGCACTTCTATTCATCCTCTGCAGAGGAGTCATTTAGACTTCAAGCAGACATTCAGTTAAAACGCCGTGTTTCTCTTTGCCCGATTACCTGAGAGAAGGTGTTTGCGGCGTAGGCGGCCGCGGTCGTGAAGGAGGTGAGGAATGTCGCCCGGCCGGCCGTCTTTATTGTGTAGATCATTCGCTCCCGGGGCCGACGGAGATGGGAGGCCTGTCTGAAGGTGCTGATGAACACAAACACATCATCCACCCCTGAGAGGCAGAGAGCAGAGATACATCAGTTGATATCTGTGGAGAGGCGCATTTTGTTTTGTTAATATTACAAAACCTTTGAATGTTGTCATTCGTCTGGAAAGTGGAATGCGAATCAAAACGGCATCGCTGCAAACGTGCGTTGAAGTAAAAAGCTCAGCTTAGCACAAAGACTAGAAAGTATGGGACATGATCAATTTTTCAAAGAGGCAGTTTTATGTGGGTGTCGTTGTTGCACATTTTGGTCTGGTGGAACAATTTCACGTCTTAAACAGTTAACTCAGTTATGAGCAGCTGTTAGGACGATACAAGATCCACGAAGTAGCAATCGTTTTTACTGTTGTGGTAAAAAAGAAAGAACAGTCCATGTCAACCGTGCAGCTATAATCTGGCCTTTACCAGGTACTGAGATTATTTAATTATAAGGCCAAGTGTGCAAAACAAGCAACACACAGGTGACTCCACTTTGCTAATATTTAGTAAAGAGTAAAAAAGTTAAAATTGTGCAATATTAAAATGCAAAAAACATTAGATGTGGCAAAAATATGTAAAACCTTTTCCATCTTAAGAAGAAATTATGACATTTGGTCACATTACAACCATAATCTTTAACTTTAACTGTTTTATTCAAATCCCCACAGCATGCTGCTGCCATTACCACCTTCCACTGTAACGATGCTATTGTTATCACACATAGGCACTAATTTGTGTTGGTCACATCAATACCCAATGAACTACAGTGATGTTTATGATTGCAGTGACACAAAATAGTACAAAATTAAGAGCGTTAATAAGGCATCTGACGCTTCTCAGAGGAATTTGAATCTTTGATGTTTGATATCATTTTTTCCTGCTAGCTTCATTGATCAAATTATATAGATTTTTCATAAGGAGCTAAAAAAAAATTATACATACAACCTTTACATTCAGTCGGCTGCTGGACAATAGTTTTCACTGTCGTTGGTTCATTATAGTTGATATAAAAGAACATTTTCAGCTCAAACAGCTTCCACAAAGTGTAGACAGTCCAGATCCATGTGGTAACAATTTGATCAAGTTAGCTTTTTGAACAGCCTTTCTCCACTCTAAAGAGAAAAATCTTTGATCTGTTGTGTTTTCTGGCACATGACAGTGACTGTCACTTCTGGAAAAGAAAAGAAGCCTAGAGAACAAGTGTATGTCAACACGAAGAAGCAAAGCTAAAACTGTTCTGCTTCTCTAAGTAGCTCTGCCACAATTTTCTACTGGAGTCACTTTTTATCAGCAAATAATAACCAAAACCAAGTCTCAGCACCTTTTGATGTACTCTAAGTTCTCTACATTTACAGCTTGAGGTCCTGATTGACTTCACATTTAAAATTCCCTAAATAATCACATTAACTTATGCTCTCAGTACATGTTCAAACATTGCTTTAATAAAGGATATAGCTGAGACTTTTTTCTTACTTTTTAGAAGCTAACAGGGAGAAAATGTTTGACCCATTTGAAAGACACTTTCAACAAGATTTTAATGACTCACCAATCCCAATGATAACAAATGCTGCGACTCCGTTGAGAATGCCGAGGTACCTCACCCCGAAGACAACGTGGTATAAAAACAGAGCCATCAAGCAGCTCAGCCCAATGGCGGCGAGTCCAAAGAACGTCAGAAAGACTTCAAAGAGAGCAGAACGTCAGCCGGTTAATATTCCGAGCTACTGCATGAGTACAAAGAGAAGTAAAATGGGAAACTGCTCCTACTGTACCGGAAAACGAGGTGAGGATGTAGACGAGCACAGTGATGCAGACTCCGCTGATGACAGCCAACATCATATCATTGTAGAAGGTGTGTCTCACTTCATCATCAAACAGCTCCGTCCCCCCATACAGCACCTTCACTTCACTGTAAAAGGAGATGCAAAGTAAACAACCCACAGGGGTGACGCGTCCTGCGAAGCGTTTAGTGCTCCAGATGCCTTTGTCTCTGACCTGGTAGACTGCTTGGCCAGCATGCCTGCATACTGAACCACAAAGTTTTTGAAGCGAGCTCTCTGCTCGTCTGCTCGGTCCTGCAGGGAGTAGTAAGACGGCAGGGGAGCCCCGAAGTGGATCTCGCTGCGCAGGAGAGCCGAGGAGAGACGCTCGGGGGACAGACTTTCATCCACGTACCAGTAGAACTGTGGGTGGGTGATGGCCAGACTTAAGGAACCTACAACAAAGCACCAAGAGATGAAAGCAGGTGATAGGTTAGCTCCTTTCAGGAAGTCTTTGATGACACAAAACACTTCCCGCACCTTGAAGTCTTTGACATTTTGTCAGTGGGACCTTGTGAGGCCAACACAAAAATATCACAAATAACTGCAGAGAGAAAATAAAAGCCCATGTAGCTTTTAAAATATATTTCTTTTATATAATACCACTCTTAAAATGTGGCATGCAGTCATGCTCAACCCACTGAAGGAATACATGTCTCTACAAAGATAGTTTGACTCTACCAGATTTCCACATACAGATTGAAATGCAGCGTCTTTTGTGCTTGTAAATATCCCAGATTGACAGATTGCACAGCAGTTCTCAAGTGTTGGGTTCTGGGCTTTGAGTGCACCGTTTCAAACCACAACTTGTCATGTAAATCTATTCATGGTAACTCTCATTCTGTGATAAGGGTTGTGGTTCTTCTGATGGAGCCCTAATCCTAATCCTAACCCTCACAGCATGATGCTGCCACTACTTTGCTTGATTGTGTTTTGAAGAGTCAGTTTCCACCACATATCGTATTTTGCATGCAAGGAACGACAATTTTGGTTCAAGTCCTACAGGTGCACCTTCTTCAACCTTATGGAGTTCACAACAGATTGTCATACCTGAACTGAAGATCTCTGCAGCTCCTCCAGAGCTACCTTGGGTCTATATCTTGTTTAATGCTCACCTAGCCTATAGCTTGTCTGTTAAGGTGGCTGGCCAAGTTTTGGTAGCTTTGCTACTTAGTGGTGTGCATTATTAAAAATGCACACCACTCTGACACCACGATGACTCACCTTGAATATCAGCCAGATCTGGGCCCATGCCATCGTAGTATATCTTCCCCGCTCTCTCACTGGGGTAGAGGTAAGACAGAAGAGAGCTGGGTGGGGAGCAATAGGACGGACCCAGAGGCAGATCCCTTAAAATCTCCATAGGTTTCCAGCAGAACTGATGAAACTGCGGATGCTGCATGAGGAGACGTTCTACATGGTGGATGGTCTCCAGGCGCTCCGAAGTGAAGATGTTGCGCTCCCCTTCCCCCTGAGCCACAAACACCAGCTCAATCCTCCACAGAGCCTGGCTCTGCATGTAGTAATTAGGAGCAAATCTGCGCTTCCTAATGAGTGGAAGAGAGGAGTTTCCGTCCCACAATTCCTGCTCCTCTTCACCTCTGGGACTCTTGTCCCTCCTCACCCCCTCCTGACTTGAGTCAGGCTCAGCTCTTGTTTCTCTGGCTTCTTTTGTTTTTAAAGTGCTGCCTGTTTGAAAGGAGGGCTTCACTTTCTTCCCCTCTTTCCAGTTGAAAACTCCCCCCTCCGCCATCTTCTCCAGGAGGAGCTCCTTGAGTTCCTCAGACTCCATGTCATCGACGTCCCGCCTGCGCCTGTCCCAGGAGCCCAGCTGAGTCTTCACGGCGATGGTGAGAGCATCAAAGCGTTCAGCTGAGAAGTGGCTGTGAACCTCGAAGGCACTGTAGGAGAGGTCTATGTCCAGAGGAGGGCAGTAGAGCAGCATGTAGGCAAACAGGGCGCAGGGCATGAGGAAGGCCACCCCTAGGACCACCCCGCTGGCCCAGGGTTGTGTGTAGACCCACCCAACTCCCTTCCACAGCCCACAAACCCTCACAGTCCCCGAGAAGCAGCCACGCCCTGCAGCCTGCGCCACCCCGTCCTCCTCCTCCTCCTCTTCCTCCTCATCATCACCCCAGCTGGTGCGAAACAGCAGCGCCTCGTCCTCCACATCCATGCTGGCACCTGTGAGCGACACATTACACCGCTTTATTATGACTCGCTCACGGCTCTTGAGTCGCCGCCTCTCTCCCCTCTGGAGAGCGACCGCGAGCGTGAAATAGATGTTTGAACTACGAACAGTTGACACAAAATGAAGGACAGGGGGAAATCTGTCCTGAGCAAGCAAGGGTGTGAGGGAATGAAGTTTGTTCTAGAGCTGCTGTGGGCCGAGGTCCTCCACTGCTGAGCTCATTTGGAGAAAATTAAAGGAGGGGTGAGGTGGGAAGGGGTTCAAGGACTCAGAAAAGAAAAGAAAGAAAAAGGTTGGCAGCTTTCTGCTTTGAGATGCTGCTCACAAGAGCTTGAGGGTGAGACAGGATAAAAGCTGTGATTTGATTTTCTTCCTCTCTCTGCCAGCCCTTATCACCTGGAGAGTCCACTGGTACCTGTCAAGGTGCAGCTGTGTGTGTGTGTGTAGAAAATTAAATAATCTCACCTGTCTAATTACTGGCAAGCGGGGTATTAGAAACAGTTGCTGGCTTATCTCCTGTGACGGACAGGTCTTGCCTAATGGTGTCATTGGGTGCCTCTTATTTAGACTCTCATGCTCTTGATATGCTGCTGCAGACGGTTTGCATTCTGATGGAAATTCATCTGCACTCCTTAAGGCCGAACTCTAAGGTCAGTCAGGTGAGGCACTGAATCACCATTAAGTGTGACCAATAGCTGCGCTCTGCCCCCATCACAAAAAGGAATGAGCTGTTTATATTGCTCGATCAATATCACGAATGATAAAGAAAGCGGAGACAAAGGTCTCTTCGCAGACAAACCTTGAATTCATAATTAAAAGCCAGGCCAGTTGATTTATGGACTTTTTTACTTTGCGTTCTGAAGCCGGACTGAAGTTCACCGTGTTCGATTATTCAAAGTGTGCCGAGGTCTCGAAAACGTCAAGACATAAAAACCACCAACGTGTTGCCTTTTAAAATGAGATGCCAGAGAAAGTGACATATGGAGGAAAAAACAAAAAGAAGCTGAAACACTTTTCTTTCACCCAGAAGGACTAATGTGGCAATTTGAAAATATAACATCAGAAGTTATGATGTAGAAATGATTTAAACCATGTTTTTGATGAAGTCAAGAGGCATTAAAGATAATCAAAGCTTTAGAATGTAACTTTTATTCTCAAAAAAGTTTTTGATATATTTCTTAACATTGCCACTGTGTCGTGACATTATAAGAAATAATCTGCTTGAAAATAAATAAATAAAAATAAACTATTGCCATATGCAGCAATGCAGTCAAAACAACCAGTCAGGTTGAAAGTCATGGATCATCTGATGCACATTCACCATAGGCTCATTGAAAGGAAGATGCTACAGTGTAGCAGAGAGCAAGAGCAACGCATACACAGGCATGATTGAATGTGCAGAAACCCTCCTCCTGGCTCTGATTGGTTGTTCCTGCAGATGACAGTGGGGCCAAAGGGAGCTTGATTTTTTCAGATTATCTGTCTTATGTTGCCACAACATAATGACAGTTTTAATAAATATGTAAAAAACGTTTTTTATAAATATTACTACTACAGCTTTAACATCAAAATCAAAATACATTTGATAGATACCTTTATTGTAAATACACTAATATTGAGCCTAGGCCACACAAGAGTGCATGGGACACTTTTATGGCCTAAATAAGTAAAGCCAACCTGCTGCTATGGAGCCGCTAACCTGTCTTTCATGGTGCTTAAACTTAATCTTTGCTGAATTGTACGTGAATATAACATACATTTTATTAGCACAGATATGAGTAGATCCAAGCAGCACTAGATATTATCATTTATTTTTTAGGAGTTGCTCTCCATTTTACAATTTCCCCAGACAAGAATAGAGTAAATTTAATCGAGTGGGGAAGTTTGTTTCTTTTGGACACATTTATAAGTTAGAGGCATGTGTGAGTTGAGGAAGTGGGTTACACTCCATTAAAATCTCGCCAAATCCTCCCTGTCAATGCGAAACAGCTTTTGGTAGAGGCAGCATCATCATGTGGGGCCGTGACGCAGCATGGTGAGATCCTGAAACCAGTCGCAATCCAAAATCTGCTCTTTGTGGAACTTTGTCCTCCAAGATGTTCAGCACTCGCCAATACCGATTATTACATTTGCTCTTCAGCAGGTACGTGTTGCAAGCAGGGAGTAAGGGCAATTCTGTATTTGATCCTGTATCTACAAATAAACACGGAAGAAGGCCATTATGTTGTGTTTTGTGTTTGCAAGAGTCGTACTGTACACAAAATGTTTTCCCAGGTCTGATACAGAAAGCTGTGGATGATTACTCAATTGATTCTGCAATTGTAAGATTTAAACTAGAAAATATTTGCCTCGTTTTGTTTAAAGCTGGTCTTTTTGTTCAATTCAACTTTTCTTGGGGCTCTGATATTATTCATTTTGCATATCAGATTATTAAATATACTTTCAGCAGCAGAAAGTATATTTTTTTCTTTCTCTACTTCAAATAAAAAGAATCACATTCTGCTACCCATATTTCAGTCTATGCTTGTAGAAATACAGTGATATCTCACGACGTCAGGCCGCCGTACGCAACAGTTTCACCCAAGGTTACCGTGACCAGAAGACTCGTGCCAGTCCATGCATATTGCTCACTGCGGCTGAAGCAGACGATGTGTTCATGTTTCCAGTGGAAGAAAAAAATCTCCCACAGTGGGACAAAGTCAGACTGCAGCTAGTGCGGCGGCTCACAGACATCTGTAATGAGTCCATCATTAAAAGTTTTTGCTCTTCACTTTCCGAAAGCTTTTAATATCAAATGTTCACACGACTCAGCCGGGCTAATGCTGTTTCATGCCAAATTTTCTCCTTTTATGTAATAGATGATAAAGCCTTTATAGAGGAAAATTGAGAGCTTCACACTGAATCCAATATTCTATAAAGGACACCAATTTTCAGCTATTTTGTTCATCTGAACCACGGTTGTTTTTTTCTTTTTGTTGTTTCTTTTTAATTAAGAAAAAGTGGACTTTTAAAAAGGGGAGGGACGGCGTTAATGTGAACTTCCTGAACTCTCAAGGGAACAAATGTATTTATGATTAAAGCACAACGGCAATTATTGAGTTATATGGCTAATTTGTTTTCAGCTGCTACTTGATTACACAGCTTCTAATTCTGAATTAACAAGGATAGAAGAGCTTGTGCCTCTTCAGCCTTTTCACTTTGTCAATACTTTGTCAAACCACCGTTTCTGCAGCTGCGGGTCTTTTCAGCTTCTACTTTGGAGGGACTGAAGGTTTTCCTTCTTCAATCTGTTTGGGGAAAGTCTGTGAACATTAATTTTCACCTCTTATTTGGACAAACCTTTGAAAATCAAGTATTAATTTTTTTTTTTTCCCCACTTCACAATAATGAGCTACTTTGTTCTTCTGGTCTATTGCATACAATCCAAATAAACACTTACTGTGTGTGGTTGGAAAATGGCAAATTATGAAAAACTTCAATAGGTATAATTACCTTTACAAGTTGCTGAATAATTTTCTGTCCTTGGCTGCAGTCTGAAGGTGGAGTTATCGGTTACCTGCAATCAGCAAAAACCATTGCTGACAAATGTTTTATGTACTGCAATATGCCAGGCACCTCTACAGAGGAGATCAATTATGTGATATTTCCAAGACAAATGTGTGTCCTACAATTCTTTATTGCCTGCCAATGAAACTGACTACAGCTGGTGGAGTTTGATGATCGGATCCTCCTAATCCTGTTACGTTTCATTTATGTCTCTCTGCCTCGTTTTAATAATGCCACTTCCACTTCTTGAGTCGACAGGAGAGAAGAGAAGGACATAATGAGAGGAGAGGAACGGAAAGTGGAGAGGAGAGAACAGCTTGGCTAATGACCACTAAAGTACACAATCCTGCACTTATCAGCTGTTCAATAGCAAAGATATTAATAACAGAGAACAAACTGGATTAAGAGTGTACGGTTACATTTCCACGGCTCCATTTCTTTCCACATCCATATCCAATTTGATGTGCTGGTTTCCTGGAGCCAATGCAGAGTTTCATAGAGTCTCTGTGTATCGTAAGTGCATGTCGGTCGTTACGCAAAGCTTTGCGATTCCCTTCATCTGTCTCCATGAGTCTACAGACACCTGCCAGTGAAGGGGAGCAGAGCTAATGAGAGCGATGCGTGGCCTGAGGGACGCATCCTTTCTCCCTCTCTGATGAGTCTGATGCTTCTTCGCATTCAAGACAATCAAGAACAATAGTTATGAGCAAGGCACAGCTGTAAAGCACTGCGAGCGCTGTGGCGCCGTGGTATAACTAATGTGTTTACAAGCCGCCGGATTTGTTCAACGTTGCTGTTTTTCTGCAAAGATTAACAGAACACGGTTGATTTAAATCCTCATGCAGGTGAGGATTAGAGCTCAATTTGACTTCCCGCATTGTGTGTTTGTCGGGATAAAAAAAAAAGAGCTGCCTCCCAGATAACGGCTGGATTATTAAAGCTATTTTGTCATTAGTGAATCACCGTTTTGTGCTTTTCCTTAAAATGCAGCACCTGGATCTAAAATAGAACTGATAAATGCGTGAAGCAGAACAAAGTGAATCTGTGTGCATGTTCTGAGAGGAATGAACATCCTCTTGTATAATGCATGGTGTGTTACTGGATGACCTTGCGCGCCCTCATGTTGGACTCAGCTGGGAACTTTTTCTGGAGCTTTAAATATTTATTTATTTATTTTCAAAGTTTTGTAGCTCAGGTGTTGTGCTGTATCTGTCTTGGTGTGGGAAGAACATGAGCTTCATGTGAGAAGCGTAGGAATGAAGGAGGCGATGAGCGAAAAAGAAAATCATAAATCTTAAATATTTAATCTTTTAGGCGCGAAGACAACGTGAAAATTAGGCAACAGTTTTTTTCCTTGTTTTCCAGGGCAGCAATAGCAGAACGACGTGTCTTCAGATGTGCTTATTTTATTCTTGTCGGTTTGCTGAAATCAAACTGGCATCAAAGTCACAGATGCATCTCAACAAACTAGAATATCAGAGTTCATCAATTCTGCTCAACACCTGAACGTCACATTGATTCATTAAAGAAAACAAAAAAAAAAGAACAAGACATTTCAGGAATTAATTGTTGCTCATTTAGATAATTCTGGCTTACAGCTCGTGAAAACTCCAAATTACAAATATTACATAATAAGGAAGAATTTTTAATACAGACATATCCATATCTCCATGGATATTTCCATATTGCACTCAATACTTGGTCACAGCTGCTTTTGAATGAATTACTGTATCAGTGTGGCTCGGAGAAGACCAGATGTTGCTTTAAGAGCATCCATCAGTTTGTCTCCGCTGTAAGGTTTGGTGTCTCTCATCTTCCTTCAGACTCCCTGAAGTCGTTTTCTCCTTCAAAGCGGTAAGAAAGTTGTGGGCTTGTCTCTGGTTCCTGAGCGTCTTAACATCAGGAATACGACAGGTGGAGTCCAAGTTCTGCATACATCCATGCATAACCTGAAGCCATTTATGATTTTACTTGTGTTCCAGGATTTGCTTTAAAATCCCTTCAAGTCTGTGGTTATCCCCGTTGCTCGTACATGTTTTTCTAACAGATTTCTTTTAAACTTCGCATTGATATATTTTTCAGCACTCCGAAAAAGCAGTTTCTTTAAGTAATGAAGTCTTGTTGCTTAGTATGCTTGCATCTGACACCAATGACTGCCTGCAGTACGACTACCAGCTCATTTCTTCCCACATTTTTGTTGTTCACAACACAGCATTTATGTATTAAAAATGCTTTCTATTTTGTTTTTAGAAACCGAATGTTAGATCTGCACCAGCAGTAACCCACAATTATGAAAAATAACAAAATGCTTGCAGTCGCTTCCCTGTGCATGTTTTTGGTTCTTTTAAACAATCTGAAAAAAGGATGGTATTCATCAAAGGACAGCGCATCAAGAAAGAAATTAGAAGATCCATGCAGATGTGTAGCATTACAGAGATTAATAGATTAAATATTTGTTTGCGATGATAGATTATTATCTGTAACTATATTTTAACCAGAACCTGAACTATCATGTACACCGTTGAATTCAAAGAATGCAGTACCACGCTGAAAGCATGTTGGTGGTGGAATCATACTGCGGGGTTTTGTGAAAACAAACAAGAAAAAAGAGCCGATCTCCAGATCTTAATCCAACCAGATGTGGCGTGAGAAGAATGAGGCAGATCGGATTTCTGCCTCTTCCCAGTGACTGGAGATCAGTTTTAGCAAAGCAAATAAAACAGATTTACTTGTATGTCAAACAACAAATCTAAATCAAAGGAAGCCTGATCAAAAATCCATCAGGAACTCCACCAGAATCTTGTTTGTGTCTAAGCACTCAGTGAAGCAGCAAAAACTAGGTTTAATTAACCAATTGCAGGGTGTGCTGTTTTTTTTTTAGACCCAATTAATGACTAGTTGTTACAAACCCATGTGAGATCAGTTACTGCTAACTATTTGATAATATTCAAGTTCCTCTTGACTGGATATTTCAATGATGAGGGACATTTAAAAAAAAGCCCCAGAAAACAACCCCACCGAAACTCAAGACAGGAATAATCACCTGTCTTTAAATCTTACAGTCGGTGTCATGGGGATGAAGCAGTAGCTTGTTGCAGTGCCAGCCTCTTGAATCTTTCAACTATCCCTGTTTTTCGCCGAGCACTAGATTCACTTTCTGCCTTTCACTCTGCTGCTCTTCTCTCCACCCTTCAATCTTTCTCCTTTTTCTCTGCGTCTTCCCCTCAGAGGTGAGAGATTTTTAACCTTGCCTCTGACGACAGCTTTGAACCTCCCTCCCACCTCTACCTTCTTCAGTTTATCTCCTCTCCATCTTATCTGATATGGACACCACATGCTACCTCTCTTGGTCTCCACACACACACACATATACACACTCAGGCTGATGTAAAGTCAGCTGGAATAGCACCCAATTTAAAGAGGCATTGATTTCCCCCACCGGTGCTCTATGAATACATTTCTTATGCATGAGCGCCCAGAATGATGTTTATATTCGGCGTGCTTTCTATTCTCCACCACGGCCCGAGTGTTATGCTTCGACTCAAACTCTCAAGATCCAATTTGGGCGAACAGAGGTGCTCATTTCTCTCATTGTTGATGAATTGCTGCTCACGCTGCTGGAGGAGCAGAAGCAGCATGCAAGGTGAGTGAAGCATGGTGGAGATGAAACATTTATGCGTTTCCCCCTCCTTAGAGTCTGAATAATAAAAAAAAAAAACTGAGTAAGTAAGCCCTAAATTTGTTTTAGTTTTTCCTTATTGGCTGCATAATTTACAAATAAGAACACACAGTGACACTTATTAACCCAAACTTTTAGTGATTTATGAAACCAATTAGCTCACGTTTGTTTAGCCAGTGAGTGCACCCAGCAGTCAGCTCATTTGCATTTCCTAAATAAGTAAACAGCAAACACCTTGAACGGCGAAGGAAGACTTACCTGAGGCTGATCACACAGGAATCACAGGTGGAGCGTTCAGGCCTGCCTGGTCCACTTTTATAAAGCTGAACTTGACCTCTGCAGCTTCATCTGCTCCATGCGCCGATATCTGTACGGAGAGATAATAGACACACACAAAGATTAAACTGCTGTTTTTTTTAACCTAGTTAATAACTCACAAGGTAAAAGAGATAGATCCACCTAATGAGCCCTGATAAGAAAATGCCACACACACAAAAGAATAAATAGATCCACTTTCCTCCCTCACTCAGCTGGAATCTCCTGATTCAAACATCCAGCTCTTATTCTCCTTCAATGCGCCCAAGTCCTTTTTCCCTCCTGTTCTGGTGATTCTCTCCCCTCCTTTTCTTACCCGGTTGTCGAGGCGACAGTCAGCGAGACATTTCTTCCCCAGAAGCTCCCCTCTCTCTCTCTTTCTCCCTCACTCTCTCTTTCTCCCTCTCTCTCTCTCCCTCTCTTGCTCTACCTCTCCTTTCTCGTGGCTTTGTTCAGCACGCTCTGCTGGCTGGCCCAATGGTGAGAGAAGCACAAGGAGGGAGACGCGGCTCAGAAATGATGATGCTGAAGGGCAGAAAAGAAAAAAGAAAAGGAAGAAGAAGCCAAGCGGGGCGTTTTTACCTCGATAGAAGTGTCACTTTCAGGGAATGCGTGCTTATGTGATCGGGTAGAGGATCATGTTACAAGAGCTGCCTTGATGCAGCAGCAGAGCCCCCTCTCACCATGCTGGAGTTGGTATGGTCTGGTCCAGACTCAGTTGGTGGGGTGTGCTATAAGAGGGTGATCAGAATAACTGGCTCCAGTCAGGAGCAGATTGAAATGACCAACTGATCAGGGTTTATTAGCCCGCAAGTTCATTTTTCATCTGTCAGAGACGACAAAATCACTTCCATCTGCTTCTCAGGTTGCATTCAGCACCTGTAGCAAGCTTTATAAAGAGCAGTGATTGGAGTTGTCATGTTTAAAAACACCAAAAACTATCCTGTTTCTGACTGTGGCGTCCTCACTCCACCTGCTCTCGTCTAACTGGAACGAGGAGCTCTCCAGCTTTTCTCCAACATCCATCAAACCCCTTTTGTTCATGTGCAAGCCGGACTGATCACAAGGTAATAATAATTCATCGAGCAAAGAGAATCGGGGCGGTCGCTCTGAAGTGAGACTTCACTACCACAAACAAAGCAGGTTTGGTGGTGCATAGGACCACAAACACGTGTGATAAGAGTTACAACATGTCTGATGTAGAAAAACAAACTCCTACTCATAAAGTCTCCATTGTTTAAAGTTTAATGAGCCTTTTGGACTTCATTTCAACAGACACGTATCACAAATATTGGCAGGCATGAACTCGGAGGCAGCAGCCGATACAATATACACTTAAATACAAAACGCACGTTCATTCACACATCTGCACATGCACACTGAGCACATGCATGTGGAGGTAAACAGGGGGGGTTTATAAGGTGTGACTCTAGGACAGGACTATGGCGCTACTGTCTGATGGTCACATAAAAACTCCTATTTCCAGTTGTACCCATCGCATTTAGGATGAATGGATTGAAAACTTATAAGGAATGTTTTCCCAGACCTCATAGAAGCCCTGATCAATTTTTAAGAGAGCTAAACCTAAGGAGGATTGCACACGACTATGAAACTTGAGAACAAGCAAAAGATGAAACATCTTCTTAAAGATTGAGAGAAAAGGTCAGAATGGAGGCAGATCTGGGTAACGTTGGGTCCATGTTTACGTCAGTGAAAGGAAAAAAAAAAAGCTAAATCCTGAGTTTTTCATTTTAAGAGCATTTTCAAAGAACATGAGTGCAGGTAAGAAATTAGGAATTGATCTGGGAAAATGTAACATGTATTTGGATACAAAGTCAAACAGTTCTACTTCTGTATTCCCATCATTTGACAGACATTTCAGTAATCAGCACTAAGTGATGCTCCTTTTCTGTATCTAAACCAAACATGGAAATGAATGGTGGGGAAGCTTTCCTTAATGACGACACACAAAAGCTGCTACAACACAAATGAGCTGATATGTAAATGTGACTCAGTAATAAATGTTGATGTGTACCACGGCTACAGAGCTGAAAAACCAACATCTGGTTACAGAATCATTTTTAAGAAAATGTCTGCAGTGTGTGTCTGTTGTGTTGCAGTGTTACGATCAATGTTGTGTCGGTTTTTGAATTTACTACTGGCTAACCCGAGAAAATATGGGAAAACGGCCGGCATGAAAATATGACTATGGGTTCATGGCATCAGAGTTTTTATATAAAAGTTAGAATGTGCAGCACAATCCAATTGGTTTTTATTGTTTTATGTCTTACTGTCGCGTTACATCAATAACAGTGTTGGGTGGGGCTGTTTTATTTCACACACCATCAGGGCCTGCATTTGGCAAAACCAGGCCCTGATTTTGAATTTATCTGTTTTGTAAATGAGGGAAAAGTTTAATATCCTTCTTTCAGCCAGCTGATGGCAGTGCACAGCTACAGGTGGAGGAGGGGCAGCAGCACTGCCTTATTTCGTGCTTCATACAGTCGTGGAAACCTTTTGGTTATTCCATCATTTTCTCTGGCTTTCTGAGAAGGTCTTTAATCTGCAGGTACAGCGTGATGGACAAACTGAAGCTGAAATAAAAAGTTAAGAGTTCTGATAACTGCAAAGGGTTAACACCGTTTGATAACAAAATAGAAGCATAAATAATTCACATATCATTTACAATACTTTTACAATTATAGCAGAATCCTAAATTAAAACAAACACGTTGTCCTGAAGCAAACAAACAAACAAAAAAAACAAAAGAAAAAAGATTTTGTTCCTGGCTGTTTTTCCACATGTATTACTTGGATAAGAAAACTTTTGGCCTGAGTGGATAAAGAATGGTCCTCTGTACCTAACATTCACAGTTGAACACGGCGTCGGTGTGCTCAACAACAAAGCCAATGGGGGAAAAAAATCTGATCTCAATGGGCTTCAGGTGTTCCTGCTCCACAGACTCGGTCTACAGTAAACTCACATAAACTCAAACTCAAAGCTACCCGCTGATCAAGCAACCCAATTTCTTCTGGCTACCACAGATGCGTCTCCCGAATCTCTGAGATGATGGTATTGGCTTTTTTGAGAGCCTGAAGGGAAAATAAACAAAACAGGCAAAAGAAGATGGTTAAATTGCTGACCTAAGAAAAAAAAAAGTATTTGTTGTTTGTTATTAATTCAAAAGCTGCATCCTTCAGTTTTACCTCGAGCATCTGAGCGACCTCGGTGCGCTGCTGCGCGGTTTCCTGCGACTCGATGAGCAGCTCCTGCAGCAGCGGCTGCTTATAGAGCTGACCCACCAGCTCGCTCTGCAGATGCTCCTTCACATGATTCACCAGAAAATGCATCACTGTCTTGGGGACGCTGCACACACATAAACACACGCACAAACAGAGCCAAGAAAGTTTCAAAAGTCAGAGAGCGACAATCAGCAACAGCTGAATGGAGCGACTGACGCAGAGGGGCAGTGGGAGCCCTCTGGCGTTCTGAGTGCGTCCCAGTCAAATCCAACCTGTCTTGGATGCCTTTTCGAACGATCAGGAAGTAGCACTTGATGAGTCGCTGGATGACCTCGCAGTCCCGCTGCTCCTTTGCACTCAGTTTGCGGGATACGGGCATTGCCTGGCAGATAGGACGCGACGTGAAACTTTATGCCGCGCGCGATCAATTAAATCCTGAACGTTTTGCGCTTCTAATGATCCCATCACTCACCGTGTCAAGGAGGTTAATGGCTTGGCTTTTACTCGGACTGCCAAACCCCACGGCTGGAGTTCTCTCCTCACTAACCTTCTCGTTCTTCCACCGCTTCCCTCCATCAGCGGTGTCAGCCTGAGAGCAGGAATGCAACAAAGGCAATGGGCAAAAAAGCAATTTCACTGAGTGTGAGTCTCACATCGTATAAGGCTTGGATGTGAAACATAGACTCCGGCTTCGTCGAGCGCAGCGCCTGCTGTTTGATTTGTCAGGATGAGTGAGGGACGTGAATGTTTGCTGTAGGACATAAACAAACAGATTGTACCTGCTGACTGTTGACGGATGCCGAGACCTGCGCTGCATCTGTAAAGTCCGGATGCTTTGTGTTGATATAAGCGAGCTCTATGGCCACTAAATTGTGCACCTGACACACAAAAACAGAACCAAATGGATCAGTAAGATTTTGTTTGCTATAATTAATAGAGGTCCACTAATCAATCAGACTGAGATCAGATTCTGGCAATTTTCCTCCTGATCAGGAGGACAGAGAATTCAGAATATTTTTTTGCAATATATTTCTCTCTTGTAAGTGATACCTTGGATCTCAGTGGGTAAGTAACTATCTAAATAAAGGTCAAACAAAAGAAAAAATCTGATACAGATTAGGTACAAATGTTTTGATCCATAAATTTGGAGGATATTGCATTTGGATTCTCAATTTACGGTGTCATAAACTGGCAGCATACTGGTAGGTCAAAAAGACAACTGGAATCTGATCTCAGGCACGAAAAAAAATAAATAAATAAAAAAATAATGCTTTTTGTTGCCAGCAGTTAACCCAGAATTATTACAGTGGAGCTGCGGATTACCATTTCATTCGTGATTGGCAAGCGCTTCCTCAATAATCCAGTCACAACTTCCACAATGGAGTCATGCAGTTTGGGAAATCGTAGAAGCTCCTTTGATACACACAGAGGCACAGTCAAATTAAATAAACCACTGATGCATGAAAGTTAAAGTGGATAAAACTCTCTTGACTAACCTGAGTGCTAAAGGAGGAGCAGTGCTGGATGATCCTCTGCAGCTCTTCATGAACCAGCTCGACGCAGCGCAGGCTGGGCTCCTCCAGACGCTTAATTTGCCTCTTTACCAGCAACTCGAAGGACACCTCGGGCACAAAAAGTGCAGGTCTTGGACCCTGCGGGGTAAAAGCAGTACAATTACTTATCTGCTCTCCGCCCCCAAAACGAAAAGAATACAACAGCCACAGACGACATCAGCAGCTCACCGTAGCATTGCGGATGGCGGTGAGGATATCCAGATCGGTCAGTCCTCCCAGCGGGTCGATGGACTGCAGGGTGCGGCCGAAAGTCTCGTGGAATATGTAACAGATCCGAGCTCCGCCGCAGCTGCAGGGGAGACGGGTTCAGCTGTGAGTGTGAGTCAGCTGGGATAATTGAGTCCAAATTAAATGCGGTCAAGCCCAAAAAATGAAGGTCAATATTTGTTCTCGACACGTTCAAGTGCATTAATCGGCCTGCTGGTGAGAGAGCTGAAGAGCAGGACAGTCCCAAAGGAAGAAGCTTAAAACACTTCAGTTTACACTGTGATACGCTCTGCTAACGTCTGCAAAAACTGCTGAAAACCTCTCGTTTTGAAGCATGTCAATCATTTTATCAATGAGCTCTCATGTTGAAACATTT